ATAGATAGATAGATAGATAGATAGATAGATAGATAGATAGATAGATATCAATTGATTGATTGATAGATACAGGGAGAGAGAGAGAGAGAGAGATGATTGATTGATAGATAGGGATGGATGAAGGGATGAACAGATGGAAGGATACATGTAGAGAGATAGATATAATCCTGCTGAAGGTTAAAAAGCCTCTCTCGTCCTCTGTTTCAAGGAAGATTTTATTCCACTGAAACCTAAAGGAAGGGAACTGGGGTTTCTATTGTGTATCTTTTTGTGTCAAATTCTATGTGCCAAAGTATGATTGAGGTGTAAATCTGTGATCAGCTATTTTCCAGATTTAAAAAAAATCTTAATTTGAAAACCAATTGCATCTGTAATGTTTAAAGGAGGGAAGGGGATAGAGCCAAAGCATGGAAATTGGTCTTAGCTAAGCAAGGGAAGTGATTACAAAAACAAGCCAAACAACCCAAAGCAAAACCCACACATAGATTTAGTAGTTTCAAGGGAGAAGAAGATTTCTACTAGGAAAAAAAAACATCCAGAAAATTGTGGGGGAAAGAGAAGGAGAGAGACCACATGTGTGGCATTACAGTTTCAGTGTTAAAGTGTTAAGATATTTAATTTAATAGGTGGACCAGTAAAGTGTATTCTGTAATGGGCCACAATACACAGTTGTAGCTGACTGATGGACAGTGCGGGCTCCTGCATGAGGCAATCTATGTTATGATTGGTTGCTGGATGACAAGGGGGAGTTTCCCTTTTTCACACCTTTTTTTCTGTTCTGTGATTTATCTCATGATTTATCTCATGATCTTAGTCTGTACCTGATTACCTTGTCTGCTGTAAATATAGGTGTTAAATATATGCATTCATTTAAAACTACAAGTTTGTGCCAGCGTCTCTGACTTCATTTGGAAGGCACCGGCGCAGTTCCCTGACATAAAGACATTGGCTAGAACAACTGATTATGAACTGTTTTTGCCAAGGATCCTAATAACATGACTGCAGTTTTTAATTATTAACATCATAACTTGGGATTCACATATGTGTTGCTGAAAAAACCAAAACATTACTAATCTTTGTCATAGGCAGCTGCTGCTTTAGATAAGATATTCTCTTAAGAGTGAAACAGCACTGTGCACCCTGGGGACAGTATTCCAAATCAAGGAAATTTAGAATAGTAAGATAATCAGATGGGAAAATATATAAAGCTTGGTTGTCTGAGAAAAGTCATTTTTCAGGAGCAAATAATCAGGAGCATTTATTGAGTTCAATCCACAGAAGAGTTTATTACTGCTACCTTTACACAAGAATCTGGTCAATTAAAGGTCAAATTTTAATTGGCACTAGAATTCGCATCTGTCTCTTGATTCCAAATTAATGACATGTTTAACTTCGCCTTCCAGCTCAGCCTGCTCTTCTCCTTGATCATCAGCTCAAAGAATTAATTTTCGCTGTTTATTGGGTAGCAGCTGTAGTTGGGATCATGAGTTGAATGAGGAAAAGAGATGGCAAAGTCACGGCTGCAATATAAAGCTTGTCCTTTCTAACATAGGATACCCAACTTATGTTGGCTTGAGGACCACGCTTGTCCTCACCCAGCATGTCATTTGCAAGGAAGGCAAGGAAGGAGAGATTTAAGGATTGTAAGGGGTTAGGAACACTCTATTTACAGTAGGGGTGTCCTTGTGGATTTTAACTCCCAAAATTCCCCAGGCAGCATGGCTAGCTGGGGAATTCTGGGAGTTGAAATCCACGGGTTTTAAAGTTGACCAGTTTGGAGACCCTATAACTCCAATGCCTCAATTCTGCAATCAGAGGCTCATTTCAATCTTCTTTTAAAAAAAAAAAAAACACACCTCTGCCCAATTCAGAAGTTGTTTCAAAAGGAAAAGAGGAAAATAATCCCTAAATTCCAATGAAGAAACTAACACAAACAAGATTATGGGAAAAACAAAATAGGAAAATGAAGAAAAGAACACAAAGCGAAAAAGCAGCCACTTGAGAAGATCCAAGGTGAGTACCTGTGTTTTCCGGATTCTCAAGTCGGCGGAGGATCGGTTCTGCACCTCTTCCTGCTCAATTCCCTGCTCAATCGCTGGAGGAAATAAAATAGATAAGGAATCAGAGGTGTAGTATAGAAATGAAAGACCAGTGAATTAGTGAAACAGAAATTTGAATTGTTGCCCTTAATGGTGAGCTGATGAGCTATAGATGAAGCCCCCCAGGCTAGGTGTCAGTCCCACTAGAAGAAGACAGGCTGCAATAGTACATGGGAAAGACCTTGTGAAACAATAGGATAGATGCTACCTAGAGAACAGTCAGATTACAGACAACAAAGGTCATGGCTGAAAAATGGACAAGTTTTATTAATGAAACTTTACAAGATAGTACAAATTAGTTTATCTTGTTGTTTTCTGTCTGGTCTACACAGCAAGGCTGACATCACTTTAGCAAGTTTGAAAGTACGATTCTCCATCGTCTCCTTTATAGAAGGCTTCTTCTTTTGCCCTACCTGTTTTGCAGCTGCAGTCTATGCTGTCTCTTATCTGACCATTCATTAGGCAGCATCTCTTTCCCCTATCTCCCAAGGTCTTCTCCACCTAGTAGTACAGCATGAAATCAACTTCATAGGATGTCTAAAACTACTTTTATTGAGATTGGCTAGAATAACAGTACCTTGCAAGTCTGATTGTTTTGCACCTCCTCTTTATGTTTCACTGAATTAGAGAAGTGTCTTGTCTGACTTACTTCTGAATGTTATCGGGATGTTCTAAATCTAAAAAGACTTTTTAGCCTGCTTTGCTTAGGTAATAGAGTCTGCATATCTCTGTCAAGGTCATCTTCCTTACTGTGCACACTAGGGCATCCTCCTGCAGTTTAGAGTGTTTCCATCTAGCTGATCCCTTCATGAACTGAGTTGTGAAAATTTCTAGGTCAAGACAGGCACAAAAAATCAGAATCATAGTTAAGTTCCAGTTAAGAAGATTTATTGCTCAACACCTATATACAAGAATCTAATCAACTAATGGTCAGTACTAAATTACCATTCGAGAAGAATCAATGGAATTTGGGGGGGGGGGGCAACTGGACTTGAAATGTTTGTAGACACATAAGGGTTCTAGGCTGCGTCCACTCAACTCCACCTCTGCGTTTCTTTCTCTTAACTGAGGATCAATCATCATTTGCTGTGATAATATAACTGAAGCTTTGCAAACTATCTTAGGTTTGTAACTCAAGAGTCAGTTTATTGTAGCAATTATGATTGTTAATTAATTAAAATGTATTAAAAACTCATTAAACTTGTTATTACATTCATAATAGACTTTGTTTAAACTTGTCTCAATGATGCTCTCAACCACCAAAGAAATTACAACCAAATCATTAAAACATAAAGTGTAAAGATAAAAGATGCCAAGCATGATGAAGTGCAGGACTCTTCCTTGCCAAAGGCCTGGATAAAAGATGCTGGACCACAAAAATTCACATTCGAATCCAAATAAGTTTTGAACTGACTTCAGACCAGTCACCACCTTTCAGAACAACCTTCCACAATTGTTATGGGAATAAAAATCAGAGGAGGGAGAACAAAATATATTATCCAGAGTTCTTGGAGGAAAAGCAACATACAAACCTAACAAACTAATTAACTGGACAAATATTTGTGTGAGAAAGTAAAATGCATACATGTAGTACTTTGGTTACAATGGCAATTGGGACTGGAATTTCCATCACGAAGTGATGCAGTCGTAAAACATATCACATATCACTTAGCAACAGCAATCCCAACAGTCCAACAGCTGTCATAACCCCAGGACTGCATAAGTAATTAACCAAGGACTTCCTGGGAGCATGGCATGGGAAGAGGTAGGTGTCTCTGACAAGCAGGCTAGCAGAGAGCTATAGGTGAGCATGCAGGTGACATGGGCAGGGGCTCTGGGCAGGTGTGTGGATGCTGCAGGCAGGTGCTATGGGGCATAGGTGGTGAGTGTAGTGAAGACGGGTACCTGGGATTGTGGGCAGACGCTATGAAGGATGGGCAGGTATGCAGGTGCTGCTAGGAAGCTCTATGGAGGATAGGTGGGTGAGTACAAGAAGGTTGAATGTAACTCCTTGTAACTTTACTAACAGATCAATGTATTTTTCTTTGCAATAATTCAAGATAGAAGTAAAAGTGGCTGACTTTAAAAGGCAATTTTAAGACTCATTATAATGCTATTAAGTCACTCACTTCATTGAAAACCCAATAAACACATTTTATGCTAACAAAAAAAAAGACATAAAGCTGCAGTTTCAGCTCTTACCTTTTAACTTGGAGCGCACCTTGTTGGCCGTCTTCTTGATATCAGCTGTGAGGTCCTCCAATTCCTGCTTAGTTTCTGCAAGATGAAAAACAATAAGAAGACGCTGAAGCTTAAAAACCAAAGAAAACTATGCTGGGTCAGGTCAAGAAGACATCTAATCGAGCATTCTGCGTCCCTCAGTGGTCAATCACGTGCATTCAACTCACAAACCTGGTACAGAGAGGTATCCCCTCTTTCTTGACACTCCTCAAAACTTGGTATTTAAGATATGTTCACTGTGATATAGAGGTAATAAGCAGCCATTAAGACATATGCCCTCTAAAATAGTCTCCTTTTAAAAGCACCTACATTGGTGGCCATCACTATACTTGATGACAGAGAACCCCAGTTTGAGCATAGGTAGTCCTTGGCTAATGAGGGTAATTTGGACCAGAATTTCCACTGCTAAGTGATACACTCATAAAGTCCAAATTCATGTGACCGCATCACTATGTAACAGCAATCCTGACAGTCTCCATTGCTTGATAAGTAAGATTTGCAGGTTGTTAAGAACCTCCTAGCAACTTCCTTCCAACAACCAAAGTCAATGAGAAAGTTGGCAGGAAGGTGCAAGTTCCAGGCACTCACAAGGAAATTGACGGGAAGTTGCTGCTTCCACGTGGTGGGAGAGCACAGGGTTGTGTAAGGGGCTGTTGCAACAAAACACTAGGCAAGGCTTGGGGTGACTTCTGCCTGGTGGGGGAGACTTACCAGAGCGACTTGCAATCTTCCTGCTGGCTTCCCCATTGCTTTGTTTGTGGGAAGCTGGCAGGGAAAGTCACAAATATTGGCTGTATGACCATGGGACTCTGCAACCGTCCTAAGTGTGAGCAGGGTGCCAAGCATCTGGATCATGATTGTGTGACTGTTGGGGTGCTAGCGCAGCCAGAACTTTGAGGAGAATGTGTGATTGTTAACTTATAAAGGAGAATATTTGTAGCTCAGGGTTGAAATGAGAGATCCTTGGTGCTCTCTGAGCTTGGTTCTTTTCTTGCAGACATTTCATTACCCTAATGAGGTAACATCATCAGGACTAACACTGATGATGTTATCTAGTTAGGGTAATGAAATGTCCGCAAGAAAATAAGCAAGCTCAGAGAGCACCAAGGATCTCTCATTTCAACCCTGCGCTACAAATATTCTCCTTTATTCATCCTCATATCTACCCTTTTACTGATTCTAAATCTCCAGCCTGAAGCTTCTGTGAGTGACACCATTGCTAGCCTTGTGAGAAGAGGAGAAAAAGCTTTCCCTCCCTTTCAAATTTTGCATGATGGGATACTCCTTCATCTTGTCTCATCTAACCCACTGCCTGGGTTCCAAACATTGCAGTCTTTCTTTGAACAGGAGCTGTTCCAGCTCTCTAACCCCAGTGACTGTCTTTTGCGGCCACATTTCCAGCAATTTGGAGGAGAGGGTTGAAATGATGGCCTTACACATGCAGTCCCTACCTCCAACCTCCCACAGGAACTGGTGAAAGCACACTGGGCATCTCCAGAGTGTATGTATGAGCGGCTGAGGATGCATATGCAAGGACCGCTAAAGAGGCTGGGCAGTGGTGGTATTCTACTGGTTCGACCTGGTTCTGCAGAGCTGGTAGCAGCGGAGACCAAACTGGTTCTCTCCACCGCTCTGCTGTTGGGCCCACCCGCCTGCCCGGGCTCCCATACTCACCTTTATCCCCTGAATTTCAAGTGCAGCTGCTTTGCGTGGCACAGAAGAGTGCCACGTGGCAGCTGCTGAAGTGACCGGGATCGTGCAGGCTTGCAGGAGGTGAGTTAGAACGCCTCTGGCGCCTGCACAAACACCTCTGAGCCTGTGCAAAGTGCCCACTAAGCCACGCCCACAAAACCGGTGGTAAAAATATTTGAATCCCACCACTGAGGTTGGGTCTGTGTTTTCACTCACTCTCATCTGGGTTGGGAGCAGCCAAGATGGCGCTGTGCTGTTTCTTCACCAGCTCCACATCTTCTGAGAGCTTTTCAATGCAGCCACGAATTTCCTCTACCTGAACAAGAAACACAGAAGCATGCATCAATTCTCGCTCATATGGCTCGCTTTAAACCTTAGGAATTAGGGTAGGCGTAGGTTTTCATAGTTGCTACCAGAGTTGTAAGTGATGAGTTCCCTTGGGGTTTTTAAGAATCAGAGCCTGGGTTCATACTATTCAGCAGTGGCTGGTTCAAAAAACATTTGCTTGAATTCATAAAGACAGAAATAATGAGAGTCACGATAGCTGCATCTGCAAAACACTGTAAGATAAAATCAAATAGACTACAGTTAGTCCTTGACTTATGATCACAACCATTGGGAAACAAGACAGTGGTTAAGGGAGTCGTGCCCAATTTTAGAAACTTTTTTTGCCACTGTTGTTAAGTGAATCATACAGTTGTTGAGCAAATTCTGGTTTTACCACTGACTTGCTTATCAGAAACCAACTGGGAAGGTCACAAATGGCCATTACATGACCATGGGATGCTGAAAGCCTTGTAAATACATGTGGATTGCCAAACATCCAAATTTTGATCATGTGATCATGGGGATGTTATAAAGGCCATATGTATGAAGACCGGCCATAAGTCACTTTTTCAGTGCCCTTGTAACATTGAACAATCACTAAATGTTAACGAGGATTATCTGTACATTATGGCATAAAGCAGGCTGTGAATCTAGCCAGAGTCATCCAAGACTTGAAGCTGATTGCAAAGTCAGGAAATGAAAAGATCAGGACAGGCCCAGTCCATCCAACTGCAGCTAGCATTGTCTTTCTTTACTGCAACCTTCTCAATCCTGAGTCAGCCATGTTGGCCTAGGAATTTGAAAAACTGCAGTCCTAGTATCTTTAAAACAGCAACCCCCCCACCCCCCCCACCAACCTTTTGGGCACCAGGGACCGGTTTGGTGGAGAGGTTTTTCCGTGGAATGGAGGGGGCGTGGTTTCATGTGCTGCCTTCATATCGCAGATGGGCCTTTGCTTGTTTGCCCGGCCCAGTTTCTGGCACGCTGCGGACCAGAGCCAGTTCATGGCCTGGGGGGAAGAAGGGGTTGGGGACACTTGCTTTAAAAAGTGTTAGATTGGGGTGATATATTGTCTGCCTTCCTCTGCAGCAGGTCCCACTATTGCAAGTTATCTCCCTGTTTCCTTCGGATGGTAGCCCACCAAGAACAAGATTTCATACTCTCCTCCGATAGAATAGAATAGAATAGAATAGAATAGAATAGAATAGAATAGAATAGAATAGAATAGAATAGAATAGAATAGAATAGAATTCTTTTATTGGCCAAGTGTGATTGGACACACAAGGAATTTGTCTTGGTGCAAATGCTCTCAGTGTACATAAAGAAAAGATACATTCGTCAAGAATCATCAGGTACCACACTTAATAATGTCATAGGGTACAATAAACAAATCATACTAGGAAACAGTCAATATAGATTGTAAGGATACAAGCGAGAAAGTTACTGTCATACAGTCACAAATGGGAGGGGATGGGTGATAGGAACGATGAGAAGATTAATAATAATAGTAGTGCATACTTTGTAAATAGTTGAACAGTGTTGAGGGAATTATTTGTTTAGCAGAGTGATGGCTTTCGGGAAAAAACTGTTCTTGTGTCTAGTTGTTCTGGTGTGCAATGCTCTATAGCGTCGTTTTGAGGGTAGGAGTTGAAACAGTTTATGTCCGGGATGTGAGGGGGTCTGTAAATATTTTCACAGCCTTCTTTTTGACTTGTGCAGTATACAGGTCCTCGATAGGTAAGAAAGGACAATTCTAGCAGTGGGATCCCGATTGCACGCATGCAGCTTCCCGCACACTAGCTGAGGCCTGCTGCAGCGCCAATCAGCGGAGAGGATAAAGAAGAGAAAAGCGCAGGTGCCAGAGCCCGGCTTTTCTCAGAGGCTTTTTTCCCTTCTGTCAGCTGATCAGAGGCTTTTTTTTCTTTTTTTACTACCAGTTTGACCGAACCGGTCCGAACCGGTAGTATACCACCACTGACAAAATTGCAGAAAAGTGCTGCTTCACTGCTCATAAGCCATCATGCAGGAAACACAACCAATATATATTTCTTTTATAGGCAAATGTCTAAAATTAATTGCTCAGGTATCATTTTTATCCCCAGAGGACATTCCAATGCCCAAAGAAACAACAGTTAGTCCTCAATTTACAACAGTTCATTTACATTTGAAGTTACACCGGCCCTGGAAAAAGTGACTTTTGATCGCCCCAAAGGTGCTTTATTCAAGAGGCGACAGGACTGTCTGGTTTTTCTTTGAAAACGTTCCCCTTCTCACCCAAGAAGCTTCTTCAGCTCTCTCAGAGAAAAGTCTTCAAAGAAAAAACAGAAAGTCCAGTTGCCTCTTGAAAAAAGCACCTTTGGTGACCTGGATGAAAGCGATGATTTATGACCGCTTTTCACACTTACGACTATCGCAACATTCCCATGGTTACTTGATCAAAATTTGGACACTTGGCAACTGTCGTGTATTTATGAGTGTCTCAGGCTCAGGCTATTCCCTTTTGTGACCTTCTGACCAACAAAGTCAATGGGGAAGCCAGATTCACTTTACAGCCAGGTTACTAATTTGACATCTGAGGTGATTCACTTCACCACTCTGGCAGGAAAGGTCGTAAAATAGGGCAAAATTCACTTAACAACTGTTTCACTTAGCAATAGAAATTCTGGGCTCGGTTGTGGTCATTGCATGCCTATAGTGGTGGAGGCTGTTCGGATCATTTGTAGAAACACACGCACACAATCCCTTCCTTGGCTTAGTGGAGGAGATGAGAGTGAAGGGGTGTGTAATTCTCCCAGGTGTACGCTGGGAATGCAAGGGCCCTTTTACTAAGAGGTCTCCTTAACTTGAACAAGCCATCTGCCTTGAGATAAGAAACCCTGTGCCTCCTTCAGAAGAACAGTGGGCAGCAGGACCCTGGGGATACCAAAATCAGGAAGGCCGAGGCAAGCTGGCTGCTGATGTCATCAAAAGGCGACATCCAGTGGAGGAAGGCTGATATATATATTTAGAATTGGGATTATTAAAGTGGATTCTAGAATGTGGTTCTTATTCTCATAAATGATCATAAATGCATACTGGGAGGAAGGTTTATTGTTGAAAGATGCTCACTGTGGGTGCCCCAAAGATGCGAGCTCCAATTCAATAGGGGGATCTTATCTGGAGCCCCATCAGGTTTTTAAAATGGTAAAATGGGGGGGGGGGGGAACAAGTGTTTTCTATTCTTCCACATCAATATCAGACTAAAAAGAGAACTTTTCCAAGAGACGGTTGCATTCTTGAGCATCTCTGTGGATACCATATGAACAAACTATGTGGGTTTTGCAAAGCATAGGTAGTCCTCGACTTACAACAGTTCATTTAGTGACCTTTCAAAGTTACAACGGCACTGAAAAAAAATGGCTTATGGATGTTTTTCACACTTAATGACTATTGTGGCATCCCCATGGTCATGTGATCAAAATTACTGATTGGCAACTGACTCATATTTATGACAATTGCAGTGTCACATGATCATCTTTTGCGACCTTCTGACAAGAAAGTCAATGGGGAAGCCAGATTCACTTAACAACCGTGTTACTAAACAATTGCAGTGATGCACTCAACCACTATACAAAAAAAAGTCGTAGGCTAAGCAAAGTTCACTTAACAAATGTCTTGCTTAGCAACAGAAATGTTGGACTCAATTGTGGTTGTAAGTTGTTGTTGTATATTTCTTTTTCTATTCCATTTGGAAAGAAAGGGACCATTGAACTGAGAAATGGGTTATTGTAAAGGTTGCATTCCCTTGCAAGTAATATTATGGTGAAATGGATCCATATCCATTATTAACTTTCCCCTTCCCATTTACCCCAGTCCATCCTTTCATCCACACAGTTCTCTTCATATTTGAAGAAACCCAGAAACAAAACAAGAAGCTGTAAACTCAAAGATGCTTTTTCCAAAAGGCAACTGGACTTTGTTTTTTTTTCCTTTTGCTTCTCATCCAAGAAGCTTCTTCAGTTCAGAAGCTTCTTGAATGAGAAGCAGAATGTTTTCAAAGAGGAAAAAAAAACCAAGAAAGTCCAGCTGCCTTTTGGAAAAAGCACAACCATGACATGGATAATTGACAATCTCCATAGACACATCTGTAAAGAAGCAAAATATAAATGCAAAAGGGAGAAGGAGTGGTGGTGGAGAAGGAAGTGATGGTTGGTGGTTCCAAGTAGATAGTTTTTGCACTTGTCGATAATTTGCACTTGTCAGTTATATTTACAGATTTCCTTCAAATTATTGTCTATGGAGATTCTCAGTTATCCAGGTCATGATTATCCCAAAGGTGGTTTTTCAAAAGGCAACTGGGCTTTGTTTTTCCTTGAAGACATTTTGCTTCTCATCCAGGAAGCTTCTTCAGTTCTGATTGAATGGTGGAGAATGGAAGAATTTACTGAAAGGAATATAAATCCTTCCATCCTCCACCATTCAGTTAGAACTGAGGAAGCTTCTTGGATGAGAAGCAAAATATCTTCAAAGAAAAACAAAGTCCCACTGTCTTTTGAAAAACCACCTTTGGGCCCTTCAGATGATTGAAAAGCTCAACATGGTTTCTTCTGTTAAAGAGTGGCAGTAACCTTAACTCATCACTAGAGGGTAGTGTGAAAGGACTTGACCCATGTTTGGGAGCTGATTCTAGGAAGCCTTGACCAAGGTCCTGAAACATTCAGCCTCTGCTCAGACCGCGCAGCATTCTTTTATCAATACCTTTCAACCGAATCATTACATCAGCACCGACAGGGGCTTCCTTCCATGGTGCACTTGACACAAACTTTAGTGGATCCAATCAGCATTTGACACCTTAGCCTAACGTGAGCCACGTATGAGACTGAGAGGCCTGTTTGCCTAAATCCAGGTCAACAACCCGTTGCTCCTATGATGTAATTTCAAAGAGCAAGATCTCTCCAGACTGTAAGACTCCAGAACATAATCACTGATGTACTTTGGGGAAAGGACCAGACATGCAAACATCAATTTCACAGTTCCTAACCCTGCATTTCTCCATCTCCAGCACCTGTGCATTACAGAGGCTGCACAGTACCATTAAAAGATGCTCTTGCATATTAAATACCTGCCATTTGAGGACGGACTGGCTTAATGCGGGTGAGTTTTTAGAAACAGCCAAATATGGATATGTTCCCAGTTAGCAGTATAATAGTTACTTCACTTATTTGCTGTCACAAGCTACAAATACAGAATTTGGTAGAATTAAAAGTTATGGATTCTTACAGCTGTGGCTTCCACTTCTCATGAGGCCAGGGTTTTCTTTTTACTTTGTGAGTCTGCAATTACGGCGATAATTATTATGGTCATAAGCTGAGCCATAACATTTTTTGACCTTTTTGGGGTGATTGTTAAGCAAATGCCATGGTCCTTAAGCAAATGGATTTTCCTCAAAGGGATTTTTTTGTCAGAAACTGGAAATAAATACTGGAAACTGTCAAAAACATTGCAAATCATGGTTATGTGACCATGAGAGGCAACAAATCTCTTTAAAGTTGATCCAGTTGCCAAGTTCCCCAAATAGAATCCTGTGACTAGGGAAAGGGCATAGCAACCATAACTTCAAAGCAGATCATAAGCTGCTATGGGGATGTGTGTTGTAACTTCAACTGGCCATTAAGTGACTGGTCATAAGTTTAGGACTACCTATAGGTTGAAAAATATATGACCAAACCCAGGTTTCATTTCAGAAGCCATAAGCATTGTCTGAGGCAGGCCTTGCATATCCACTTCAGTCTCTGATGCAAACCAAATAAATGATAAATAACAGCCTGGGAATATTCAACTAAAATCTTGACAGCCTGGAACCAAGCTATCTCTAACAGTGGCCAGCTAGTAACCCTTGTTTGGGAGGCTTGCAGAGCAGTCTACTTTCGTCTATGTTCAAAAGTAACCTGCATCTGAACAGGGAAGTTCCATCTACTAAAACTTAAAATCCAGATCTGATCAATTGTTTTCTTTTGCCTATTGCTTTCTTGAGGTATGAATCTAAAATACATTTATGACTCTGAAATGAATTGTCTTATTTCTTTGATAGGACTGAATGAGCAGTGAACTCATAATTATAAAAGATAGGTAGGTAAGTAGGCAGGTAGGTAGGTAGGTAGGTAGATAGACACACACACACACACACACACACACGGGTAATCTCCTGAAATATTAATTGTTGTTAGAAAAAGACATTTCTGACAAATTTGTTAAATAAAAACAAACTACATAAGAACTGCAATGCCCAATGTGAATACCTTGACTCAGTTCTGAATTCCTTATCTTTTTTGCAAAAACCTTCAAGCCTATCTTTCATCTTACCTGCTCAAAGAATTCGTCCATGAAGTGGTCTCGATCCACATGTACCACCTCTTCCTCATCATCGCTGTCTTTGGCCTATCCAAGAAATAAAATTGATACAGATTAGATCATAATTGGTCTCTACCTGAAAAGCAACACTGATCCTTGCTCTCTTGCCTGTTTCAAATTATTATAAATATAGTGTTAGAGTAAATGTTAAGAAATCAAATGCCACTTCTTGGGAGCAATAAGTAAAATCCCAATTTTTCTAGACAGAAACACAAGAAGAATATTTAAAACTTTGGATCAAATTAGAATATTGTCCTCTCAGGCTTAACAATGTTTATGGCAATTTGCAGGTTTCAGCTGTTTTCTCTATTTTCCCTGCAAGGAATTAATTCTGTGAAGAATTTCTGGCTAATATTTCCAATTTTCTGCTTTCCTTTTCTTTAATATATTTCAAATCTTCACTGCACACATAGACACCACTTGTAGAATCTGCTGATTTCTCTAAATTTACCAACATCTTCAGGGTGATGTTATGATTTTTTGCATATACAAAAAAGAATGACACACAAACCCCAAATCACCCCCCCAAAATAATAGAGTTAACAATGTCATGCAAGGAGAAATATTGTGATAATGGGTTCTTTTAAGATTTTTCCCTTGTTGCATAAATCTCATGAAATATGGGCCATTTGTTTTTTTAAAAATCTTTCAAGAAAATGATAGTGCCCTCACATCATGTGAAATCACATTAAAGTGTTCATGACTTGAAAATATTATTATAATTAGCTTTTCCCCCCACATAGCTAAGGCACCCAACTGAAAAACCTAATTTTTGAAAACAAGCATTTTCATGCTTCTTAATAAAAGCTTGTTACATGAAATCTGCCTCATTTTAACAGCAGAAATCCAAGACAATCCAGACTCCAGTTGGATGCATTAATATGATTGGCAGAGGGAAATCTAGGAAAACAGCCAGGAAATCAAAACACATCCAACTACACAGGCAGATGGGAATATACTATATATCCAATAAAAATATCTTTCCAGACAAACTTTGCAATGAGAAAGATAGAGGCTCTGGAGGCAGCTAGTCATATTTACAAAACAGGGTAGAAATTCATTCATACTAAAACATCCAAAAAGCAGGAAGAAGAGGTTGTTATTATTTTATGTTTTGGGTGCATAATTAGTCACAGCTTATTTATGCCTTCCTTTTAATGACAACATGTAGCATAATATTAAGCATAATATTAAATTATCCATCATGTTGAGCTCAAATTGGAGAAAGTAATGCTGAAGAAGTTGGCTGTCGCTTTCTTAAGAGAATACTTCTGAACTCCCCAGTCTAGTCTGCATCCCTGGGATCTCCCAGTGGTCTCCCATCCAGGATCTCACAAAGGTTGACCCTGCCTTGTGTTTCCAGAGCAGCCACTGTCATTTGCTATCACAAGAATAAATGCAGTAATTGCCAGGTGCAAGAATCAGGACCATCGGTTAGATTGCAGCATAGAAGATTTACTCAAGCCAATACATAAGAATCTGATCAACAAAAGTTTGAGGCTAAATTGACACCAGGTAAAGGTCAATAGAATTCAAGGAGGGTTGAACTTGGAGCGCTTGTGGGAATGCAACAACTCCAAGCTGATGACATGTTTAATTCCACCTTCCCCAGCTCTGCCTGCTCTTCTACAGCAACCGTCAATACAAGGCTGCAACTAAGCATGTGCAAAACCTTAGCTATTTGAGCTTAGACATTAAACCCCCCATTACCTACAAACACAAACATACGTCACTGGGTAGGCTTAACCCCTGGCAATTTATGTTCTAGAATATTAAGCATCCTCTGAAGGCTTAAGAGGAAGAATTAGCAGATCTGTTGATAGAGGGGACAGGAGGCCTTCCTGCTGCAAGGAGCACAAAGTTTATATCTCAACTCCTAGAAGGGGAAAAATCAGCCTTCCTTCCTTCTGTAGGTTAGGAAAACACAGAGTCCATGATTCCTCCTTTCCCTTGCTCTAACACTCTAACCTTCAAGCTTTGTTTCTCTTCTAGAAAGGGGTTGGGGGAAAAGCCACTTAAGAGTTCTCCTGGGTGCCTCTATTTTTCCAACCTGGGACTGAATTCATAGACATAACAAATCCACATTTGGGGAGCAGAGGTGTGCAAATGAAGGCCATAAGCCAGAAGTTTCCCTTCACTTAGAGTTCACCAAAAGCTGTTCACTAGTTGACATTTTAATGAGTCTAAAATGTGAGAAATATTAATTTACAGCAGGGGTGGGATTCAAATTTTTAACAAATTTGTGGGTGTGGCTTTGGTGGTGGGCATGGCTTAGTGGTCATGTGACTGGGTGGACATGGCTTAGTGGTCATGTTATTGGCTGGGTGTGGCCAACTCAATATCACTCACACCGAGGCACGCATCTCCTTGCCTGGCCTCTCATGACTGTGGGGATGCTGCAACAGTCGTAAGTGTGAAAAATGGTCATAAGTCACTTTTTTCAGTGCCCTTGTAACTTTAAATGGTCACTCCACACAAGCAAAGTACCAGCAAAGGAGGGACAAAAAACTCCAGAGACGTTCCTGAGACAGGATGTCTAGTCCTGCCAAGAATGTAATAAGGGTTAACGGAAAGGCAGTTTCTGTAAGCAATACCAGAATGTTTCCTTCCTGCCTTCCTTACAGGATTAGGCCAGTAATTTCTTCTAACAACCGGTTCTCCGAACTGCTTAGAATGTTAACAACTGGTTCTAGTGAATAGGTGCAAACTGGTAGAATCCCACCCCTGATTTACAGGTGTGTGACTAGAGAATAATCATATTAGATATATTTCACTATAACAAATATGTTGAAGGGGGTCAAGATAGTGTTACAATGGTGTGATTAAAGCCCCATTTCTTCCTTTGTGCCACCTGTTGGGATTATAATATTCAGAACTCTGTCTGGGAATCCTAAAATATATAATCTTAAAATATCAGAAGGCTGCTGGGTTGAAGAAATTCAATTTGAAGGATTTGTTTCCAGGTAGAGACATCAGAGGTGGAAATTTGCAGCCCTCTGGAATTTACAGAGTGGAAATGAGCAGAGCAGCCTGTCACCCTTTAATACAACCTAGAATGGAGGAAGAAAGGGGGTGAAAAGGATTATTCAGGCCACAAATGGGGTGACTTTTCCAGCATCATTTAAACAAGTGGTCGCCAACCAGTGGGCCGGGGATCACTGGTGGTCCACAAGAAAATTTTGGCGGTCCGTAGAGAAATATCACCCCCAAAGCACCCCCCAAAGCAATTAATCCAGGCTGTGCGGGAACATAAGGCTGCACCGCCCATGTGGCCCGTGGGAACACAAAACTTGCGTTGCTTGCATTGTGAATAACACGAGGTAGTGCTGGGAGGGGGGAAAGGGCGGAGGGGGGAACTTGCCCCCCACGCCTAGCCTGGCCAATGGGCTGCTTCTTTCCGCTTCTTTCTTCTGCTTTTGGCTGCACGCAAGGAAAGCAGCAAAAGTCTTTCTCTCTCCCAAACTCCGCTAGAAATAAGTCTTTGGGACCCTACAAGGCATCCTGCTCCAAGAGGCTGCATTGGCAAAGACTCATTTCTGGTGGAGTTTGGGGGAGAGAAAGAAAGACTTCTGCTGCTTTTGCTGCTTTCTTTGCATGAAGCCAAAAGTCTCAGTCTCAATCTCAGTCTCAGTCTCTTTCTCTCTCTCTTCCCCCTCCCTTGAGAACAGAGCTGGAGACGGTATCCTGCAATCCCAAATAAAGAATGATCGATTGGTAGGAAAACGGGGTGGGGAATTTTCCTGATTTTGGGGGGGATTTTCCCAGGGTCTCTGGTCCACGGGATTTAAAATTATGAGTTTGGTGGTCCCTGAGATCCAAAAGGTTGGTGACCCCTGATTTAAGCAGCTCCAACAGACAGTCCTCGACTTACAATGGTTTGTTTAGTGACCATTCAAAGTTACAACGGTACTGAAAAAAGTGACTTATGACATTTGTCACACTTATAACCATTGCAGCATCCCCATGGTCACATGATCAAAATTCAGACACTTGGCCACTGACTCATATGTATGACCATTGTAATGTCTTGGGAGTCACATGATCCCTTTTTGTGACCTTCTGATGAGCAAAGTCAATGGGGGAAGCCAAATTGACTTAACAACCATATTACTAACTTAACCACTGCAGTGATTCAATGAACAACTCTGGCAAGAAAGGTCATAAAACGGGACAAAACTCATTTAGTAAATGTGTTGCTTAGCAACAAAAATTTTGGGCTCAATGGTGATCTTAAGTCCGAGGACTATCTGTATTTACTCTCCAATCAAGAATATATAGGTTGAAGCTGACCAAAATAAAAATCATCCTAGGTGATACCCACATTTTCCCCTTCAGCATTTTCTCCTTGCCCACCAGTACTTGGCACTTAAAGAAAAAATTAGAATCGTTATGGGTCCTTTGGGAGAAATAACTGGCAAGGAACCTTGAAAGTTACTGCGAGATGGGCAGCAGCTAGATATTACTGTATGATAAATACTTTTCATTTTCTGTTTGCTTTATTAACTTTATTTTTATTTGTGTTATTCTACCTTCCAGCGCTGTATTGTAAAACCCAGGAACGCCAAAGGTTGCCGCATCCTATGCCAGCAAGTCCCGCCTCAACCAATCATTCCTAACTCTCGATCCCCTCCATTTGCATATGAGAATTCTACAGCCAGCCTATTGGCTCCCCCAATTATTTATCTGCCAGACCTATGGTTGGCTGTCTCATTCACGATTGGCTGTTCTACAAACCTCTTTGCATTAGCTCTTTATGTTACTTTTGGCTGGTTCCAGTAATTAAGCTACCTTAAGTCTGGATCCCTGACATCCTCTTATTCTTGAAAGTTATTGGCTGCTTCACTGGCTAATTTGCATCATGGCCTGAGAGACGAGACAGGCCAAGGTCATCTTGTGGAATAGATGAGTAACCCTATCTGGTCAGACAAACAGACCATCCATCTCTGACAATGGCCGTCAGAAGCAGCTGGAGGGGGGCCACTTATGAG